CAGTGTGGGAGCTGACCTGTGAAGACCAAGGTAAAAAAAGCATTGAGTACTTCAGCTTTTTCCACATCATCTGTCACTAGGTTGCCTCCCCCATTCATTAAGGGTTCCACACTTTCTCTGACCTTTTTCTTGTTGTTAACATACCTGTAGAAACCCTTCTTGTTACCCTTCACATCCTTTGCTTGCTGCAACTCCAGTTGTATTTTGGCCTTCCTGACTACACCCCTGCATACTCCAGCAATATTTTTATACTCCTTCCTAGACATCTGTCCAAGTTTCCTTTTCTTGTAAGCTTCCTTTTTGTGTTTAAGCTCACCAAAGATTTCACTGTTAAGCCAAGCTGGTCGCTTGCCATATTTGCTATTTTTTCTGCACATTGGGATGGTTTGTTCCTGTGCCCTCAATAAGACTTCTTTAAAATACAGCTAGATTTCCTGGCTTCCTTTCCCCCTCATATTAGCCTCACAGGGGATCCTGCCCACCAGTTCCCTAAGGGAGTCAAAGTCTGCTTTTCTGAAGTCCAGGGTCTGTATTTTGCTGCTCTCCTTTCTTCCTTTTGTGAGGATCCTGAACTCAACCATCTCAGAGTCTTTGCTGCCCAGGTTGCCACCCACTTCTAGTTCCCCTACCAATTCTTCCCCGTTTGTAAGCAGCAGGTCAAGAGGAGAATGGCCCTTGGTTGGTTCCTGCAGTAATTGCACCAGGAAGTTGTCCCCAACACTCTTCAAAAAGTGCTGATGCCAATCTGTCTGGGGGTGTCATCCAGATACACAGCACAAGTTTGGAAATACAGATATACCCTACAGATCTATAACTCACAATACTAAGGGGAATCAAACATATAAACAAGATTATCATACAGGGCAAATCATAGCATTTTCACAGATATCTTACAGATACCTTACACAGCATATCTGGTCAGATTCCTTGCAATTTTATAATATTGTTATTAACAATATTATAAAGTGTCTCCCATATTCCATACAGCGTTACACCCCAACTTTCCAATTCACCAAAAAGTCAAACTAAAAATTCATTTTCTGTTCTCCTCAAAATGATTTTTTCCCCAATATTTCAGAATTGTGAGGAACCAGCAAATCCATTATTTGCTCAGATGTAATTTATACAGCCTCTGTATGGACAGCTTGGTTCTCCTCGGCATCTTTCCCCAGGAGTTATAAAGAGCTCTCTGACATAGGGAGATGCACTTCCCCTGGGTGGTGATGGAGTCCAGGGAAGAACACAGACAGATCTATACTGGGGAAACTACACTGGGCAGAAAGCTAGCGGAGGTCTGAGCACCATTTTGTCCTTGTGGATATAATATATGGAGGATCATCCATCAGGGCTTGTGGCTCATTAGTTCTCCCTTCATTTCTGATCTTATTGCAATGAAGAATGCCAATTAAAAAAAAAATGTTTTCTAGGGATGTCTCTCCAGGGAGGCCCCATCAGCCATCTGAAAACTAAATTCCAGTCTCAGGATGGGGGAGGAAGGGTGATAGCTATGCTGCTTTGGAATTGGAATCAGGATGGGAGAATATATTTCTTCCCTGGGCAGGCTGGTGGGGAGCTGAGAGACTTGCATGATGAACCTTCAGTGGATTAATAGATAGCCCTTGGGCCTTCACATAAAGCAGAGCCTCCAAGGTCATTGGGATCCTTGCTTGTTTTCATTTTGCTCCAGGGAGAAAACCTTTTCCACTTTGGAAGGTAACATTTCACTGTAAATTGTTTTCTGCACATAGATCACACCCTCTCTGAAAAGGAGCAGTTTCACCTTTGATGCTCAGCAATTTAGCCTGGTAAGGGGCACTGGCCCTTTAAGGCCAGAAGTGCTAGCTCAAGAGGCCAGTTACCTTGTTCCATGTGTGTGGAAAAAACAAAATGGACTGTGGCCATGAGGTAGATGGTCCTGAGGAATAGTTATTGTCTGGGAAGGGGAAGGTATAGGCAAACCCCGGCTATTGTTCCTATAAGGGCCCTCGTAGAGTGGATGGGGCAAAGTACCCTTTTTTCAGCCATCCCAGACAGGTATTTGGGGTTATTAAATCCACCTGAGCAGGAAAAAGGCAGTGGTCAGATGACTGGGCAGGTGGCTCTGCCGGACACAATCCCAGAAGGAGGGCTGTGGAGACCCTGGATCTAGGGGTGGATAAAAAGGGGGCTCTTTTGGGAGCTGGACTATGCAAAATAAATCAGACCCCAAGAGAAGTGGAATATGGTTTTTAAAGACTTTTGGCTGTGAGTGGATTATTCCCAGGAACCAGAAGAGAAACAGAGGCAGGGGACTGCAGAGATGCACTATGCCACAAGGGGGCAAACTTGGAGACTGCATCCTTCCTACTATCCTCAACACTGCCAGGTGAAGTGTCTCCAGGCTGGGGTGAAAGACTTGCCGGTTCCTCTAGGACAGGAAGTTTGGAACTAGTGGCAGTAGATATGCTGACCTTGATCCTGTAGGGAACCTGGTGTGAGCTACTGACTACAAAGCTGGTGCATGGCGACTGTGTACATGGAGCTCATTGTGGATCTGGGGCCTTAGATTATAAAACCGCTGGGACAAGGACAAAAGCTTTCCATGTCTTAGGCACGTAGGCCAGGAAGGGTCATCAAGTCCAGTCTCCTGCCACCCCATTATATAATCCCATTCATAAATTTATCAAGCTCCATTTTTAGGTTGTTTGCCCTCAATACCCCTACTAAGATGATGTTCTGGAACCTGGCTCATCTGATGGTTAGACACCCTCTAAGTTCCAGACTAAATTTATTCATAGCTTGTTTATTCCCATTTGTTCTTCTGCCAAGATTGTTCTTTAGCTTGGATAGCTCTTCTCCCTCCCTGGTGTCCCCCCCCCCCCCCGGTGTATTTAGAGAGAGCAATCAGACCCTCTCTCAGGCTTCGGTTTGGTAGGCTAAACAAGCCATGCTCATTTAGTTTATTCTCATAAGATTTCCCTTGATCATCCAGGTAGCTCTTCTTTGCATCTGCTCCACTTTGAATGCATCTTATTTGAACATGGGTGACAAACATAGCGCACACATTGCTGTGAATTGCTTAGAATTGCTTGTGATGGGATCCCTGGGGTGCAGCCTGGGACTGTGGGACCACCATGCCCCCTTAACTCTCTCCAGCCTGGGCTGTCTCTCACAGTGCCTTGCTAGTGACCAGCAGCCAACCCCTCCAGGTGCTATTATCACTCAGCACAACAGCATGTGGCAGCCCCGACCCCCAATAGATTGCATGAATCACACAGAGAAAGGCTCTGGCCGAATCCCCCCAGCTCCCTGCACTGTACCTCAGGAATATACCATCTGCACTGCTCAAGACGAGCAGTGAAAATTTATTAATTGGTTCACCACTTCATCAATGAAAAGTGGACATACACTAGCCTTTGCAAACCTGAGCAGATTTGCCACACACTTCAGGCAAACTCACTGGTAAAGATAAACAGTTAAACAAATTTACTGACTACAAAAGATAGATTTTAAGTGATTATAAATGAGAGGCAAAAGGTCAGAGTTAGTTACCAAAAGAAATAAAATATAAGCACTCAGTCTAAACTCTCAACCTTATTAGATTGGGCAACAACTAGATTAAGCAGTTTTTCTCACCCCATTGGATATTGCAGTGCTTAGTATACAGAATTCACCCTTGAAATCTGGGCCAGTCTCCTTTGTTGGAGTCTCAAGTCTTCAGTGTCCTTGTTGCTTGCAGCATAGATGGGGGCAGGAGAAAGGTAAAGCATGGGCCTGCTGTGCTCTGTTTTATACCCTCAGTCCCATGTGCTTGGGGAACACACAAGTCTAGACATGTCTGAGGGCATTACTGAGGGCTTGTCTACACTGGCACTTTACAGCATTGCAACTTTCTCGCTCAGGGGTGTGAAAAAAAAGCCACGCTTCCAGCGCTGGGAGCTACGCCCCTCGTGGAGGTGGGATTTTTAGAGCGCTGGGAGAGCTCTCTCCCAGCGCTCTGCCATGACTACACAAGCCACATTAAAGTGCTGCCGTGGCAGCGCTTTAACGTTGCCAGTGTAGACTGACCCTGAGTCTCCAGGCAAGTTTGAGCAATTCCTCTGTTGTGGCTTCATGCAGGTGAGTCATTGCATTGTACCTCCTTTGCTGGTGATGGGTTGTTTGACACGCTGCCTGGGTGTTGGTTACTTTCCTTGCTGTTGCCTCTGGGGAGCTAATATCTGGCTGATTCCCCAACTTACAACTTGTTTTACTGACAACCATACAATACAATTCTCATAACTTTATAGACATTAATGATATACATGTATGGATAGAGAAATGACTTTCTGCAGATCATAACCTTTTCCCTGATACCTCACATGGCATGCTTTATATGCAATATCACAATTGTATACAGGAGAGGAATATGGGGGTTACAAGCCGCTCCCCCAAGGTATGTCACAACACTTTTATAAAAGTGAATAATAAGGGAATAATAATGTGAAGCCTGAAAAGGGGGTGCAGTCTCCTAGGAACAGTTTGTAATGGACCTAGAACCAAAGGGAAAAAGCTTGATAAACCATATACATAAAAATAATGATTATAAATGGACTAAAATAAGAACAGCCAAATAAGAATGAACCAGTTGTAAATAACAATCAGCTAAAACATAGCTGGAATCTATTATGAAATAATAAAATAATAAAAATTAATAATTAATAAATATAATTAATAATAAAGCAATCTAATTGTCCTAACCAGCCTGCCACTGCCCAATCAGCAGGAGGCATATTACCATCCCTTTCATTTCCATAAGGGAGGAAATGGCCCAGGGTTGCCCATTATGAAATGCATAGGTCTGTACTGATATCATCCCATTGTGACCAGCTGGGGGCATGGTTCCTGCCAGCCAATCACTGGGCTCAGGGTCGGCCCCTCATTTGAATGTCTGTCACTGTATATGAGTACAGCAGGAGGGAGGTCAGCGGCATTTCCAGGCCAAGGGGCTGAGCTGAGCTAAGTGAAAGCAGAGCAGAGCAATGGCTGCTGCCCAGAGAGGGAGGAAAAAGGCCCAGACTTGTGGGAGACAGCACTATGGGAGGAAGTCCCAGGCCAAGCAGAGGAAGTCCCATGACAAGCAAAGGAGGCAGGCCAGGCGGAAGCCAGTGGGGAAGTGTGGGAAGAGCCCCCGTGGGAAGAAGCCCTCCCCCGCCTCGTACAACACCAAGATGCTGAGGCGGTTGCAACGGGACACCAGGCGCTTGTCAAACAAGGCCAAAGGGCTGATGATCTCCTTCATCAACAACATCTATAAAAAGGTGTCCACACAAGCTGAGCAGCTGAGGAAGCAGAGCCGTCGCCCCATGATCGGCCCTTCGCAGATGCAAGCCGCCCTGCAGCAGGTGATGCCGAGGAAACGGGTCAGGCGCTCGGCCACCCCAGTCTCGAAGAGGTCTCACTAGAGCAACATCCCTCCCCCTCTCCCTGGGGTGCCTCCTGGCTGGGATCAGAGAAAGAACAAGAGGGGAGAAGGGAGAGGAGCAAACACCAGCCTGAGACACCTCAGCACCCTCCTGATTAAAGAACTGATGTTGCTTTAGACATGCCAGAAAAACCCCAAAAAACCTGCATTCTGCCAGAGGGACCAACCTCTCCCCCAGCAATTCTTCACGAGAGACTATGAGAGACTGAATCAGTGCGAAACTTTCCATACCAGAGCCTGATAGACCATTCCACTGCAGCCTGATTCAGTGAGACCATCACAGTTTGGAAGAGGAGACTCTTATCTCTGGGACTGAGCCAGTGAGTCAATTTCCATCACTGGAAAAATAGAAACCAACACACTGGCTGTGGATTTAATGAACCAGACACTTTCCATCACTGTAAATGAGAGACTGGCTAGAAAGAGCTGGCATCAGTTGAACTGAAAGGACTGTATGAGAGGCGCTGTCCTAAGGGAAATGAAATAATCATCTTGGCGTTATAATAAAACAGGATTTTAGCAGCACTTTTTGGTGTCATGGGTTTCCTCTATCTTAAGGAGTAAGGATGGGATAGACTGTGCTTCCCAATTTAATATACAACTAATGACTAAGAATTGTGGGATTTTCTTGTGTTGAAACAAGGAACAATTTTATTAACTGCTTTAAGGCCTTTCTCTTTGCCACAGAATTAACCTGCATCTGACGAAGTGGGTATTCACTCACAAAAGCTTATGCTCCAATATGTCTGTTAGTCTATAAGGTGCCACAGGACTCTTTGCCGCTTTTACAGATCCAGACTAACACAGCTACCCCTCTGATACCTAGCTAAAATGTTAATCCATTTAGGCCACCACTTTCCCCTGGGAATTGAGGGTTTATTAAGGGACTAATAAAATACCCAGATTTTAAATTAATCAGACAAAGTGTGGGAAGAAGAGTTGAGTATCTCTCGCATTCTGGCAGTTTGTTCAACCCCAAACATCTCCCAATTTCCTCTTCTGTCTTCATAGACTCATTAAATAAGAGGGGTCAGAACATGGATCCATGCTGGAGACCATGAAAGGGATGAGTTAGTTGCAATCCTGTGAGACCTACCAGAGGGTAAAGAATGGAGCCATTGTCATTCAGTTCCCATTGCTGCTGCCATGTCTCATGGAACAGTTCTAGTGATGCCTGGTCATCCATACGAAACGCTGCTGAGAGACTGAATGAAGTGGGTAGGGACACTTGACCTCTGTGCATCTCCAGGAGGAGATCATGAGCCAAAGACCTCACTGCAGGTCGTCGGCCATTCCTAGGACTAAAGCCAGACACATTAGCAGGCCAGACTTACAAAGGTACTTAGGTGCCTAAAGATGCAGACAGGCAAGTTCAAAAGCACCTAAGCAGGTCAGGGGCCTGATTTCAATATGAGTTAGGAGCCTAAATGGCCTAGGTGCTTTTTCAAAATCCTATTGTGCACCTATCTTCATCGTGATATGCCCGAACAGCTCTGAAAACCTGGTCCTTCGTCTTTCTGTGCTTCCCTCTTTCTCATCTGTAAAATGAAGATTGTCATTGCCTTGTCCACTTAGATGGAAGCTCTCTGAGGCAGAGATGTTCTTTTCCTGTGGACGTGTGCAATGTCCTGCACAATCTCGGTGAGGGTTTTGAGGTGCTAGTGAAGCACAAAGAAGAAATGCTAGCAGCAAAAATCATCTCACAGTGTGTTGGAAGGAAAATGGTTTGGTCTCCAGCTATTTCCTCAGGAGGAATGCTAGGAGTTTAGGCTTGGGTTACCAACTTTGTAATATTTAAAAACCAGACACTCCAGCAGGAGTGCTCGAACTACCCGAGCCCTGCCTCTTCCCCCTGAGGACCCACCCTGCTCCACCCCTTCCCCCGAGGCTCCACTCCTGCCCTGCCCTTTCCCCCTGAGGCCCTGCCCCCATTCACTTCTCTTTCCCCCTCCCTCCATCTCTCACTACTTTTCCCCTCTCACCCCCTCCCTGGATGGGTCGGGAGGGACTCACCTGTAGAGCCGGGCCTGGGAGCTGCAGCCGCCTGATGCAGGAGGAGGTGGCCGTGGCTGAGTAGGGGCTGGTGTGGATGATGACTCGATGCCTCCCACCTCTGCAGTAACTGGACTTTGGGTGTCCAGTGGGTAGATATGACCAGACACCATCAGGTCCCCTTTTCAACCAGACTTTCAGGTAGAAAACTGGACACCTGGCCTTTCTAATTTAGGCCCAAATCTTCAAAGGTATTTAGGTGCTTAACTCCCACAAGTTAGGCTTCTAAATATCTTTGAGGATCCGGGTTTTAGTTAGCTTTAAACCCGAGGTGGGGCTTTTCTGAGGGTGTGACTTGCTCACTTGTTATGTATTTTGGGGGGATTACATTATGCATATATGCATTTTCACAGAGAGCTTTGATGGGTTCAGTTGGGACATCAGAAATAAATTTACAATCCTCAACCCTGTGTCTTCCTTAATATTTTGCCACCCCTAACCATTGTGTCTCGCCAAAATTGTGGGCCCTGAGCTTGTAAGGAGCTCTCTGCAGAGAGGCTTCCGTGCCCATGCAGATCCCCGATGACTCTGCATGTTGCCAGGGCCTGCAGAAGTGGAGCTCAGTGCAAAATTAGTGTCTTCCACTGCAAGATCTTGGGGGCTTTCGGTGGCTTACTTGGTACTCTTTCATAAAAGAACAGGGCATAAGTAATAAAAACCCTGAAGACCTGGCACAGTCCCTTAGGGATTTTTTAAAGCCAGTGGCACCAATGAAGAAAATATGTACTACCAATAATAGGCCAGGTTCTCAGTGGGTGGAAGTGTAGTTCTGATGAAATCAATGGAGCTGTGTCAATTTATAGAGACAAGGTGGTGGGAGGTAATATCTTTTATTGGACCAACTTCTGTTGGGGAGAGAGACAAGTTTTTGAGCTTACAGAGAGCTCTTCTTCACGTCTGGGAAACTAAGGCCAAGTCTACACTAGAGACCTATAGTGGTATAACTATGTCACTCACGCATGTGAAAAATCACACTGACTTAGCACTGTCTACATGGGGTGGCTAAGGTCGGTAAAACTACGTCACTGAGGGGTGTGGATTTTTCACACCCCTGAGCGAAGTATACCGAAGAAAGTGTAGCGTACACCTGGCCTTTGACTGGAGGGGTGTTAACGGGCCACTTCACCTTGAATGGTCCCTTGAAATGTGTTAATTACTTATGCTAAACAATCTCTTTCTACTTGAATTTAGCAGTGACATTCTAACCCCAGATCTACACTACAAGCTTTCATCGGTATAACTACATTGCTCAAGAGTTTGAAAAATCCAAACCAATGAGCGATGTAGTTATACCAATCTAAACCTTGGTGTTGACAGCACTATGTCAACAGGAGAGCGTCTCCCATTGAAATAGCTATTGTCTCTTGCAGAGGTGGGTTAACTATGCCGGTGGGAGAAGCTCTCCTGTTGGCATAGTAGTAAAATGCTACAATCGCAGCAATGCTGTACATGTAGACATGCCATGAGTTGTTTCCCAGACCTGAAGAAGATCTCTGTGAAAACTTATCTCTCTCACCAACAGAAGTTGGTCCAATAAAAGTTATTACCTCACCCACCTCATCTTTCTAATATCCTGGGACCAACCTGGCGACAGCAACGCTGCATGTGTCAATTTATGTCAGTGGAGATCCTGGCTCAATAAATACACAGCAATAGCTCATAAAAATAATTCCATGATAAAAATGAATAAAGAAAAAATGTAATGATACTTATTGGTGGTAGTAAAATAATAACAGTTACAGTAGAACCTCAGAGTTATGAACACCTCAGAAATGGAGGTTGTTCGAAACTCTGAAATGTTCGAAACGCTGAACAAAAAGTTACGGTTTTTTCCCCCCAAAAGTTCACAACTGAACATTGACTTAATGCAGCTTTGAAACTTTACTATGCAGAATAAAAATGCTGCTTTCCCTGTATTTTTTTAGTAGTTTACATTTAACTCAGTATTGCACTGTATAGTATTTGGGCTTTTTTCATCTCTGTTGCCTGATTGTGTACTTCCACCTCCAAATGAGGTGTGTGGTTGACTGGTCAGTTCGTCACTCTGGGGTTTGTAACTCTGAGGTTCTACTGTAAATATTAAAATAATAAATTCTATTAAACAATCAGCTAATTGGCAGCTTGCCCCTAATATACTCCACAAAAATTGCCATAGCAACTTAATTGCCCTACTCATCCTACCAAAAGCCGGTGAGCACGTGGAATGCTACAATTTCCTTCATTTTCATATGAGAAGGAGTGAATTCGAATCCCTCATTACGAGGATCACCATTACAGTGTGGCTAACAAGGCCATTGTCCTAACCAGCCAATCACTGGGCACAGGGTCAGTGCCTCATTTGAATGCCTGTCACTATATAGGAGTACAGCTAATGCGAAGCCACTGCAGGCTGAGAACTGAGCTGGAGAGACCAGGGTGGAGAGCAATGGCTGCTGCCCAGACAAGAAAGAAGAAGGCCCAGATCCGGAGAAGGCAGAAGACCCAGCAGATGATGCTTCAGAAGCCACAGCCCAAGTGGAAAACGTCCCAGCCCCAGCAAGGCGGGTGGAAGCCGGTGTTGAAGCGATTGAGGAAAAGCCGGGGGAAGAGGCGTTTTTCTGCTTTGTATATCTCTGAGATGATGGGTCGGCTGCAGCGGGGAAATCGGCGCATGTCGGCCAAAGCCAAGGGACTGATGAACTCCTCCATGTGCAGTCTCTACAGCGGAGTATTCACGGAGGCTGACCGCAGGAGAAAGAAGAGACGCGGGTCTTTCATCGGCACCTCAGAGGTGCAAGCCGCTCTGGAGAAGGTGATGAAGGGGAATGTTGCCAATTATTCCATCACTTCCATCCACAGCAAGTCTCGTTAGAGAAACATTCCCTTTCCTTTCGCCCTAAGGCCCTACACCATGGCAGGGGTAAGAGAAAGAGCAAGAAGGGAGAAGGG